AGTTCGTTGTCGAACGGCAGGGACATCTACGGGCAGCACGGGACGAAAAAACGGATTTACCGAACGTCAAAGGTGAAGTCAAACGGGCGATAAAGGCCACCTTTGCACACCTTTGTACAACTTTGACGCGCGACAAATGTTTACCTTTGCTCGCGGTCAAAGGCGAGTCTTCAGGCGATAAAGGCCGTTTTTGTCACGCCTTTAACCCCTACCTTTGACGTGCGTCAAAGGTATGTTTCATTAGCATTTGTACCCCTATCAAAGGCGTCGTCAAATATGTCTGAGATTCAGGCCAAAGGTGTGAGAAAAGCGCGGTAAAGTTATGTCTGTGATTAAAGTCAAAGGCTTGTGAAAAGTGTCTTCAAATGTGTCTGAGCCTCAGGTCAAATGTGTGACAAAGTTGTCGTCAAATGCGTCTGAGATTTAAGTCAAAGGTTTAATGAAGGTGTTGCCAAATATGTTTGGTTTTTTTCCTCCCCTCGCATCGCGCCTCTCGCTCGTCTCGCGCTTCGCGTGAATTCCGCGTTCGCCTCGCGCTTCGCGCGAATGCGGCGTTATTGCTTCGCTAGTCATAAGCGCTTGATATACAGGCTAGAATCCAACTTGAGATTTCAATCAAATTCAATTGCGACCTGGATACCGTTTAAAAAGATGGACAGATAAGAGACTGAGTTATTAATCTTGTACTTTATTGTCCTAAAACCTCATTAGATGATTAGAAAGCTGAATAATTCCGATTAAAACTTAAAGGCATAAAAATGATTTTTTAAAACCTTTTCACGATTTATTGTCTAAAGTACTCATTGCAGTCTGTCGAAGGACAATCATAATGACTGCCGCAAATTTTTGAAGCACTATAAATGTTTCAGATACACGCTGTTGTCACAGACGGCAACCTGCAAAATAGTTTAAAACACTTCTTTCGCGCAAGCCAGTGCAAAAATCATGGTAAGTAAGAAATGTTCTTGATCAGGAGCCCATCTGTCTTGATGTTATCTTTGCGAAGATTTTCATTCTAGAGTGCTTTTGATTCTTGATGTAAGTGAAAGACAAACGCCATGTATCTAACTTCAATCTTCCTCTGTTGTGTGTTTCGTTCCACTGGAGACTTATCACTTTGCCTTGTTTCTTTTATCTGTGAAATAATTGTAAAAGAATATAGCAATTTGAGATAAAAAAATTCAGTCGTAGTGTTTCAAATAAATTTTTCGGCCCCACTCCCTTTTTACTATCGCTCCTTTCCTGCAGAAAATTCCCCTTTCCCTTTACCTTTATCAAAACTTAAAGACCCGGTTAAAAATGTGTAGCGAACCTAATGCTTCTGAATGGGAACATTACATCTCGTGTACATGCATTGTCATTAAGTTCGTCATTTGTGAAATTTGACGTTTGAATCGAGCCTTATTATCACTTAATTAAGTCCAGGAAAATTCAATGAAATTTCCCTCCATGCCCAAAGCTTCAAATTAAACTAAAGAAACACTTTACATTATACCTAGCCTGCATAACAAGCGTTTCCAATAGAGTTATTGCTCGAGTTAGCCCCTCCCGGCCCTTCCTTCCTCTTTTTTTGCCCTCTACAAACTTAGTCTCTTGCGGAAAAGCTCGCTACGCAGGCTATTTTAAGTTATTGTCCAGTCACAATAAAGAAGGGACAACTTGGTATGTTTGAATGATTATTATTAAATGTTGAAACATACCTAGCTGCCACTGTGGTGGCACAAAAATCAAAGGAATATTTTAAAAATTAAGCAGCCTGAGCCCCATTACGTATAGAACCCAGAAAAATCAATAGAAAGAGATACTCACGTCTGTAAAACATCCGAAGTCTTCAAATAACCACACTTCTTTGTTTGATAAACTGCACTGAATCCTGTTCAAATAAGCTTATGTACTTTCTTCAGTAATATGCCCATCAAAGTCTGGTACAGATATTTTTATTGAAGTACACTGTCCATGAAAAAAAATATATGTAAGTCTTATATTATTTCATTACCCTGAAGTAGTTTTCGTAGTTAAGTATAACTGTTAGAAAAACCAGAGTTGGTTTATAATCTTGATGTTAGTAGGTTCTCGCATGGAGTTTTGACTTGAATTGCATTGTGAAATATAAGCCAGCTATTACTTTTGCAGAAATGCACTAACCCTATTAAGAAAAAAGGGCTTGATCTAATGTAAACTCTACTGTGATATAGAAAAATTTTTATAGTTTACTGAACCAGATTTAACAATCAGAAAAGTTCCCAAGCACGACATACACGCCTGTTCGGAGTTGGTTTCCGTAAGCTTAACACAGTAAAACAACTCTGAAGTTTGAAGAACAACTATTGCATGAACACATAGAAAAGAATGACACGTACCTTTTGAACAAGTTTGTGGTCTAAACTCTACCAAAGATAAGGGTGAAAATATTTGTTAACAAAAGCTGGACTGCTTCGTACAAAAAAGCAGCTTTGTTTTCTTCAGATCTGCGTAGTTTGTTTGTTTGCGCGGGCGGAGAGAGTTTGCAGCCGCGACAATTTCGCGCCAAAAACAGGGTGTCTTGCTTGGGTTCAGTCTTCCATCGTCCAGTTGCTGAGTCATTGTTTTGCGTCGCTGTCATTACATGGTATATTGATCGATCAAGGAGAAAATGATCAACTCAAGATAAGACACAAAAAAAATCCCTTCGAAAAAGTACATATTCTAGAACATTTTCAAAAATAATTATAAAACAGCAATTACAATGATTACCCGCCCGTGTTCGGTATTGTCGTATAAATATCTTTAAAACAGTATTCAAATAGAGCTTTTTAATTTCCTTTCTCAATATCAGTTTCCACATAAGTGTTTGTAGACGTAATTCATTGTATATTTGCTCTCACTTTTCAGCACCATTCAAGAGTGTTGTAAAAGTTTACCGGTCGTATTTGACTTCATTTTTGACTAGTATCAAAGGTGTGGTCACAGCTAACTACACTTTTGACTTCATCTTTGACGTGCGTCAAAGGTAAAGTCAAAGTTACCAGCATATTTGACAACGACTTTGATAAGGGTTAAAGGAATAGCAAAGCATTGATTCATTTGACCTCATCTTTGACGCGCGTCAAAGGAGAAGTCAAAGTTGTTACCAATTTGACTTCACCTTTACCGAGGTCAAAGGAGTAAGCAAAGAGCTTATATATTTTCGCGTCAAAGGTGAAGTCAAAGCCAATAGCATATTTGACTTAACTTTTGACGCGCGTCAAAAGTGCAGTAAATCCAATTTTTCGTCCCGTGCAGGGTGTGGACTTGCGCCTTGCCTTCTCGGGGCGTTAAATGACTCCACAATCGGTAGCGATCATCCGACGCAGGATGCACATCCAACATCAAATAGCCAAAGGGGCGGGACGTGATGCGTTTAAATAGGCGCAAGACTTGACGCCACCGGTCGGGAAAGGCTTGCAGTAAAATGGTCCGTATGCCCGTTTGATCCCGGGGGTTTTTGAACGCCACGATGTAATGCGCGTTGCGATTGATGGTCTTGGAAAATTTGCCAGGCGGGAATAAATCTTGCGTCAAATACAGCACGGTGATGTTGCGATGATGAGAATCTTTGGTGAAGAAATCCAACACGCGTTTGTCTTGTCCCCCTTCTTTCATCAGATCATCCAAGACCAGCATCCCTCCGCGCGTCCGACCAAACCATTGGGTCAAATGACGGGGGTCCGGTAACCCACGATGAAACTGAATGCCATCTTTTTTTTGCATACAGTCGAACCGGGGCTGCCAGCGATCATAGGCATAGACGATCTTGTTGGGTTTGACTTGAAATTAAGACGTTGAGGTACCGTAACCATTGTTCCATCAACTCGCTCTTACCGCTGCCCGACGGGCCAGCGATGATCACACTACTGGGTTGTCGGATCATTGTTCCCACGGTCGAGGGTGACGTCGATAATGACCCGTGGCCCCTTTGGCGCCCATGCGTTGTCCCAATTTATAACCGATTTTGGCCGATTTGGCCAACACTCTCATGATGCCCCGCCCGTTTTGGCGAAAGCGGGGTCGTCGGGAAAAGGCGCGTCGTCGTCCTTGTCTGCGACTGGGCATGCCGTCCAATACTCGCGGTACAATCGTGGGGACTCGGACCGAATCAGACCTTCCATGGTCTCTCTTAAATACGTTTCACCCATCGTGTCCATGTAGTGTTTGGGGGAGACCCAGTCTTGGTGTTACGTCAATTGTCGGGCCACTAACCAATGATACCCATCCCAAGCATCAATGCCTCGAACGGTGTTGACCCGTTCGATCGGGTGTACCCACCAATAAAAGGTTTCTTCTAATAGGAACGCATCCACCACGCGCTGCACATCGCCTTGAGTAATCATGATGAAACAATGACCTCTCATTCACAGAACGTGTCGTTTTCATGGTTTTATTGGACCTAATGATCACACTGATGACAAAGCATAAAGGCCTGGCGGCTCACATTCTTTTGCCCGTCTGGTCGGGCATCGACTTCATCTTGTAATTGCTGTTTAATCACACGTTTCAACTGTTACCCACTTTATGATCATTCAACACTAAATTGTCGCAACTCCATTGACTCAAAAATTCTTGATACGACCGTCCTTGCGCTCGGGCTTTCAAGAAAAGTAAAGCATAATGGCCACAGGTCTGACTATCCATGGCTTGCAGGGTCATGTCACTGCGAGTCAGGTACTTCCATTGACCCCACCACTGGTGCAACTCCGGGTTGGTGTACACGTGCAGGGGTAGACCATAACTGTCAAAGACCTCGCACTTGTTCTGTTCCGTCCACAAGCCCAACCAATGCTGTCCCGGTTCTCCCGCAGGATCGGTGTTGACAATGTACGCTTGACGGACACTCCTGGGGGTGATCGGGGTAGCTGGTCGGCAGGGTACACCCCGTGAAACACGCGTCGTAATTCGGGGTCCTCCAGGGCCAAGGTCCGTAACACGGTATCACTGAGCGCCACAAACTCTATGACCGGTGTCTTCTGACTTCTGAGGCTACATCAGCCGTTGATGTTGTACTTTATACCTCCCAGATGATTGATCTCATACATGTTTTCATACTCGCTCCATACCCACACGGTGATGTTGTGATTGACCGCGGCAGCAAAATCAATGATCAGTCGCACGTTGCCCGATTGACGGGGGTTGCGATACTGGGGGTCATCTGCTTTCCCACTGGGCACATTGTTGAACATGAAAACCGTGCAGTTCTTGCCTTGTCCCCAATCACCAGGCAGCAGCATGGGAATCTTGTGTTCATCATAGGTCCCCGTGGCTTGTAGAAATCGATCGTACCCCAGTAGATCTTCATAGGCTTCTCCTCCAGTCAGTTGCAGGGTTCTGTAAGGGTATTCTTCTCCATTCAAGGTCTGTCGTATTTGGGTGACGCCAAACTTTTCAAAGGCGAAGGGGTATCTTTGTAGGTCTCCGTTGAAGGCATTGGAATGCAATAACCCGACAATCACTCTGTCAGGAAATCGACCCACAAACACATCGTCTTGTTCCCACTGGGTGGTTCGTCCATCGAAGGAAAACGTGCGGATTTCGCTCCGCACGACAGGGTAGCGGGCAATCTGTTTGCCCGGCCAGTTGTCTTTCTTTCTGGAGTCTGACATAGACGCTGGCATTCAGGGTCACTTTTCTCATCAGCAAGGTGACTGTGATGTCTTCACTGTGGGTGCCTGGAAATTTCTTGTCAGTCAAGGTCCCTTTGTTAGGGGTGGCCATCAAGTAGACAGAGTTTGGGTTGAGGAATAATTCAAAGTCCATCTGGACATTGGGGACCAACAATTTGCCTGTCTTTAGGGGTGGCAAATGGGGACGAATGATGAAGGTGTGCCAATTCTTGCTCGGCAACCGGCTGGTCAGGGCACGCAATTCTGCATTGCCACTCCAGTCAGCAGTAACGGGCACACCAGAATTGGCTCCCATTTCTTCAATCACATTGAGCTGATTGACCCAACCTTGCGGGGCTAACTTGGTGGCTCCTTCTTCTCGGCTGTAATTCAGGAGGGTTTCTAGGTAGGCTCTGTAATGGTAGGTATTGCTCTGTTCAGTCATGAGGACCCCATTCATGCTCAGGGTGATATCTCGAAAGATGGAGTGACCGAAATTGTTGACGCAGTAGATGTTTCTGGTATTGTTGGCATCGGAGTTGGGCAAATTGGCTTTCAATCCTGCATACCCAGTCGCTGGATCCGTCAGGCGCACTTTGACTTTGAATCGGAGGGAATTGGGATCGTAATAATCGTCTGAGCCTGGAATGAAGAAGGTGATGGGTTGTATGCCCGTCAAGGCGGGTTGAAACTCCACCTCCCGAGAGGCTTCGTACCGATAATCCACATCGGGCACGTCAAACAGTTGGAGCGACATGATGCTGACTGTCTACGATGGTTCAACGTCGTCCCCTTTTTACACCCTTTCGCATACGTTGCCTCCTGGCTTTTTCTTGGTTGGTCCACAAAACCTTCCTGGAATCCCCCATGCCAAAAATCGTGCCCCCTTTCATACGTTGCCGGATCCAGCGTGTCATTCTGGCTTTTTCTTGGTCTGCCGCGAGGACCTTCATGGGATCCCCCATGCGCATGCGAGTGGACGTGCCAAAAATCGTGCCCCCTTTCACCTTGCGTCGTTGGCGTTGATCCAACCGCCAGGGGTCCAACAGGCGGGAGGACGTGTGCATCAAGGGATAGCGCGCCATGGTCGACTTGCCAAAGATCGTGCCCGCCACTTGATACGGCGAAATGAACCGCCCACGGGCACGTTGTCGTCGAATACGATTTTGCGTTTTGAGAAAGCCTCCCACACGTACCATCTTGTTTTCCACAGTCCAAAGATGTCCCGTACGCGTTGCGTGGCTCTTTTATAGGTATTTTGGGCAGTACGTTTGGCCTTGCGTTTGCCGATCGTCCAGGCCATGGCAGGCGCTTTGCTTTTCAATCCGCGGCTGAGTTGCTCGCCTCGATTCGCCCACGTATCCGCCACACTCTTTCCTCGTTGAATATCTTGGAGTCCCGCTTGAGCTTGCTGCATGGTCAGGGGTCCCACCAGTTTGATCAAGTCTTCGGCCAACCCTTTGCCCTCTTGCTTGGTGAGCACGGGCGTGTGGTATCGCGTTAAACTTCCTCCGCGCATGTCGGTTCGCGTCGAGGTGCTTTTTGACCCTCCAGAACACGTGGGGTGGCTTTTTATAGCTGTTTGAGACCGATGGTCAGCAGGGTTTTGCCAGGGGGTAAGATGGCCAGGGGTCCACCGGTACTCGCAATCTCCACTTCCACCATCTCCAATTGTTGTCCTCGCAGTTTGATCCATTGGTGGTGCAGGGGTTCCGCCGTACTTTAACCATCGCCGGTTCTCAACAATTGCACTTCCCGTGACAGGGGAAACTTGCCACTCCCCACCACGGTGGATTCTACTAGATCCGAATAGACCATGACGGTGCGTTTGCGAGTCCCCACCATCTTTTCAAACGACGCATCCAGGTTGTTCAACCGCCATTCAAACGCCATGTGCAATCTCAGCCACGTCACATTCTCCGCCGTCGTGATCGCAAAGGGATTGCTGGTGTAGTTGACGCCCATGTACTGCTCCCCTTCCTAGTTGTAATACTGACGAAACTGACTGCCACTGGGCAGGGTACTCGAATCGTAGGTCTCGGACGGACACGTATATTGCAGATTAGGACCTAATCTATACGCGGACGTGCCAGTACCGCTCCCAGACTTTTTGAGCAACAATCCAAACTTGAGCGCAATGTCCAAGTTGATGTAAAACTCCACCATGTTCATTTGGCGCTCGTTCAATAAATCCTTTTTGGGAACCGCCTGAATCACCAGGGACTCCTCTTTCCAAATCAGTTGGGGCATGGCGATTTTTTTGACGCTGACAATAGGTCGTTCATCGCGATTCGCGACCAGCATTTCGAATTGTTTTCTCATCAGTTCGACCATGATTTTGTTATGCACCTCTTGCATCACGCGTTTCCAAAACTGACTCCCCGTCGCCACGATTTGATTTGTATTCATGACCTCTTCCAATTCGATTGTTTGGGTAAGCCTTGGGTTTTCCACACGACGATAGGAGCCTAGTTGATACTTGCGGATCACATGTGGATAGGTGAATCGGACCACTTTGGTATGAGGATCCGCGGCGATGACGGCATTGCTCTGTCCTTGATCCGGGACGGTCAGGGACATCAACCAGGCATGCCAACCCTCGCCCGGTAAGGAGAGACGTTCGGGCAGACGGACCTTGAAACTGTTGTTGGCATTTTTGGGAAACTCGTCGGTCGGATCGCTGATGAGCGTCAGGCGTTTAATCTCACTCATAATGATGAACAAGAGGCGCGTCCCAGAGGGTGCAGGATCCTTTTATAGCCACTGGTCCACCTTCTGTTTGCTGCGAGGGACTCGTCCCACCAACGAATTGAAGGTCGATTGTTTGAGATGAAAATACACTTGCTGGGCAATGTTGGGAAAGGCCCGTGCCAGTTCCATCAGGGTCATGCAGGTCTTTTGTTTGGGGGGTTTCTTCTTGCGCATGGGTGGATGACGACCGGCGCGTCAGCGTTGTTTGGCCGTTTTCTTGGGTGGGGAACGTAGGGTACCCCGTTTCTTGGCATACTCTTCGGCTCGATGGTAGGCATTGGCGTACGCCCATGGCTGCTTGGTGGGGCTGGCCAACTTTTCCCACCACTGCAAGGGTCGGTCGGGCTTGCCGTTGTTCGGCCGCTTTCTTGTGGATGAAGTTCAGAATGTCCGCGTCACTGGTGGGGGGTGGGGTGTAACTGGCCCCCGGTCGGCTGGCATCCGCCTGGACCTCATCCAGAAACCTCACCCGCTTTTTTCTTTTTCGAGGCGTTATTTTGACGCGTACCATGTTGCGCGGGAATCCAACTATCGTGCTTGGCAGGCCACCCTTTCCACCGAACCAAGACGTGGCGTCCTTTGCGTTTCAAGACTTTTTCGACCCGAAATAACGAGTCGTCCGACACTTGCACTTTTTGGACATCGGGTTCGTAAAACGTGCCTTTTATAGGCGTGCCGTCCCATTCACTGAGTCGATAGGTGACCACGGGATGACGACGGACGTGCGTGATCACAAACACTTATTCTGTCCAGCCAGGCAAATACCCTTTTTTTGAAGGGGCGATGTTTCTTGTTGAGACGCACACGATCGCCCACTCGACATTTGGGAGGTGAGATCTTGGGGTTTAAACGCGACCCGTAGAGTCTATCCCACACGTCGGGCACCGTTTTGGGGGTGAGTTGGTGCGGGGCCATGCCAATGCTGCGATGATAGGCGTGATTGTACGTATGGATCAAGGGTTGTAACACATCCACGTACCGTAACGTATTGTGCGCGGTGAAATACCGGTACATGCGCTGTTTCAAGGTACAATGCCATCGTTCCACCACCGAGGCCTTGCTATCCCCATACGTGGAAAAATCTCACCTGAATTAAGGAATGGGGCTATGTGAAAAATGGTTAAAAATAGGAAAAAAAATTCTAAAAACTTTGAACTGCTTTTTTGAGACTTTTCTTTTACATAGGCCGAAACAGTTTTGGAAGCTTAACATTCAGAGTAAGTCACGTGACTTGACCGTTGCTTACAACGATATTTTGGCGCCATTTTTGTCCTCTTGTTTTGGCGGATATTTACGACAATTTATCCCTAATGAAATTCTGGGATAAACATTAGAATATATTCTTTAGAAACTAAATAATTGCTAATTAATCGGGGAATTTGGAAAAGCATCCTCAATACCTTTTAATTTTTTTCTTAATTTCCACTGCGTCTTACTTAGGTTAAAACGAGAGAAATCCTAGTTTTAATTTAAAGAAAAACAGAAAACCCCGTTTAGATCCTAGTTTTTGGTTACAAGCTCTTGCTCTTGGAATGTAGAGAAGACCCTTGTAGCCATGAGAAGATCCCGTATTCCTCGGACTTAATATTGTACTAAGTGACCGACTTGTCCGCCATGTTTGAACACACAGCTCAACGTCAGGGAGACTAAAACCGAGGATGCTGCCATAGCAACACGTTCATTTCCAAAATGGCGGACGATCTTGCAATTGACTGTGTTGCATGAAATGTGTAAGTTTTTCATTCTAACATACGTTTTCTGTAAATTATATTTGCGATTTTATTGAATTAAAAGCATTTAGTTACAGTAGAGATGTTATTTTGTCCCTGTGTGTTTTACATTTTGTCTTAGTAGTAAATAAGATGAGAGGTTTTTATTTCGATCCCTCTTTGTTCGTTGTTATAAATCAATTCCGTTTTCCTCGAGAATGTGCGCCTAAATTTGAGTGCTTTGGCTCTAATAACAACGCTTGTCTGTAAATAAGATATCATATTTCTATTCTAAATTATACTCGTAGATTTGGCGCGATTTTTAGATATGCATGTTGGGTTCAATCGCAAGGTGTAATTTCAGAAGTTCTTCATTGAAAATTATTTTCCACTGTTCTAAACCAACTTAAGTGCTTATAAATCGCCAGAATTCAAAAAGTTACCATTGCTACAGAGAAAATCAGTTCCTAACAAGGAAAAAATTGGCTCAAAATCGTTGATGTAATGGCGGGATTCTTTAACTGTGGCTTCTCGCGTGTGGCAGCAAAGTACAGTATGTTGGACGAGAATGGAAAAGTTATTCGTGACAAAGGCATTCGTCTACAGAAGTTTTTGAGTATATTTCCAGACAATAAAGAGGCATTTGCTGTTACTCAGACGATTTTTGACAAGAGACTACCTGTGTTGCTGAAAAACTTTGATAAATGGCGGGGAGAAAACAAAGCAAAATACTTGACGCATTTTAGTCCTACAGCATGGAAGTCTCTTTCAGCAGCAAAGAGAGGATTGCACACAATATCTAACTGCAATGCATGTGCGGTTAATCACCTGCCCGTGCAGTCACTGTTCCCGTTGAAGTCTAACCGACTTAAGGTGAACAACCCGATGTCTGCATGTGCAAAGGAAGTGACAAGCTTACAAAAGAAAACAACGAAACTTGTAAAACCTAGTAAAGCAACAATTCAGGATACTGCTAAGCAGATATATTTCAAAATAAACGAACCATTTAAGAGTCTCTACAACGTGAACCTCGCTGAAGCCTTAACAAAAGTACCTGAAATTGGTGTAACACAATCAAAAACTAAGGGGCAAAAACAAAAAGAAAGAAGGAAAACTTTAAGGCCCATCAAACGCAAAACAGAAGACCAGTGGTCTAAGGTTGACTGTGACACAATGCTGGGAACGCGGCAAGCATACAAGCAGAGGGATCTGCAAAGAAAATCTCTCTACTTCGAGTCCACCCATGAGGCAAGCGTTCGAACTTTGAAGAGGAAGGCACTTGAGGAGGCTGGTCTGCGCAAAAAGAAGCGTCATTCTCCTGATCCAGCATCAATCGACTTTGACAAGGAGGGCCTCCTGCAAGAAGTAAATTCAATGAAAGAAGGTGAAAAGGTGAGGATGTTAGTTGTGATAAGGCATAATCAACTCATTATTTTGTACATAACTTTTAATCACTGGTTCTGCTTAAACAGAAAAACAAAAGCAGATGTCTTTGTTTGATGAACATTTCATGCCACCATTTATTTTAATTAGAAATCTGAGGGATAAACAAGAATACTAAATCTTCAACATACTTTTCAGATTAATTATTCAGAACTGTCCAGGAAGTATGGAGCAGCAGAGAAAAGTAAGGTGGGAAATATGGTGGTGAAAGAGTTTCTTGAAACTAAAGGGGTGGATGTGGCAAAGTTTACAGGTCCAAGAAAAAATGCTCAGACTGTGACAAGAAGACGCCTCAACCGAATGTTTGGTGGTGAAATCACAACACCTGTCCCCCGTACTAATGCTGCCCTACGAGAAACCTTGAGGGCCAAGATTAGGGCTGGAGAATATCGCTTAGGAGAGATCATTGCACCAAAACGCTACAAGAAGTTAATGTTACAGCCTGACGGTACATTAAAAACAGAGTATTTCACAGTTAACGGAAGGAAAATACCTTTGCTTGAGATTCGTAAAGCGCTTTTGGAGGAGCATGAGAAGGAAGGTCTTGTCAGAGACCACTCAGATGCCCACTACAATTGCATGAGTGTGGATGACATAAAAAGTCGCTTAAGGGAGCTTGGAGAGCTGAAAATAGATGGACTAAGGGAGGAGTTATTGAAGGTATTAAAGTTACATGAATGCACAAGACATCTCATGATCTGGTCAGACCATTCCAGCATTATGAACCATGGCCACCTTCTGCTAACTGTAAATGCAATCTATGATCCTGCATTCTACTACACTTCTGAAGAGCTCCATGGCAAGAATGTTCAGGAGTTAGTAGAGAAGCCTCACATTTACATCATGGCTAGATGTAGGGACACCATTGAAGATCAGCTTTTATACATTGAAACTAGGCTGGAAGATATATATGAGCTTGGAAATCAACTTTTGTCCTCCCAAAAGGTCTCCATTAGGGATATTTGCAGATTCTTTCATGGGGATCATCCTTCGCAAGAGGTAGAAAGTGGAGAGCAGATTGGTGGTGGCTTTGGGTGCTGTGGATGCACTGGGGGATCAGCCAGCTATATTGACCATGTGGGTTCACTGAGGGCACCGCACATTACCCTCGAAGAAAGAAGGAGAAAGGTACTGGAAGGCCCAGCAGGAAAAGAAAGAAGAAATTGTGGAGTGCATCCTTTCAAAAACATGAGCAAAGAAGAGCTGATAAGAGAGTGCAAGGGGCGGCACTTATCGGTTGATGGTTTACTAAAACCTGCATTGGAATCCAACTTGAAAGAAGTACTGAGGGGCATACAGCGAGTTCCAGCACTTTGTTTCCCCCAACAAGAATGCTCCTTACAAGAGCTCAACTTAGGAAACTATGAAGTGTTACCAGTAGAGCCTCTTCATGACCTCAAAGAACATATCAACATCATATTTAAAGAACTACCCAAGCACCTCAATGATGAAGAAAAAGTTCTATTTGATGAGACAATGGAGGCAGTGCTTTCAACAAAAGAGAAGCTCCGAGGTTCAGACTACCGCCTTTGCTGTATTGTACTGGCCTTGCACCTTGGAAAACACTGCCGTTTAACAATCAAAAGACTGCTGCACACTCTTGCAGAACTTTGTGAAATGTTGTATGCCCCAGCGGAGAAGCGCACACCAAGATTTATTTTGCGTTTGCATAACGTGACATTTTGTCATGTTATTGCAGTCCGTAAAGTCTTTAAAATCCCACAAGTGCTGACATACAGGAAGCTGTTTGGAATATACTACCACAGCATCACATGCCATGCTCCTCTTACATCTCGTATAATTTCCCTTAGCTCAGTAGACACTGAAGAAGAAGAAAGAGAATTCAGCACCATAAATTCCATCAGCAAATCAACCTCTAATGGTCATCCTGAGCACATTATTCCAAAGTCAGTTCAAGCAGAAAGAAGCTTCAGGTCTAAGAAGAGTGCCCTGACAGATCAACAGTCAAAGATTGGACAGTATGCAAAGAACCTCCCAAACTTTCCTGACACCTCCATTCCTAAAGAGCTCCTGGACAGTGAAATCTATCAGGCCCACCTAGAACAGATCAGCGATTTTCTTCTTTGTGGAAGGGGTGTTTGGTGGCATGCAGATGAGGAAAGCAAGGAAATCATATTTCATGACAGTAAAGAACAACCTGAATTTCGAGATGAAGGCCCTCCAATTCACCACTTTCGCTCCTCTTCTTTCCAGAGTGAAAGGGAATACCTCAAAGAGAAGTGGGTTGAATGCTTGACTCGAGCAGATTTTCATTTACCAATCAGAAAGGTGAAAGTTTATGATCCGGATGGAAATTTAACATTCACAAAATACTACAGAGTTTTCCTTGAGGAACCTTGGCCAGAAAGTGGAGGTGATCAAAGTGCAGACCAACTGATGGTCTGTACTGCAATGTGTGATGATGAAAATGGAAACATTCATGACAAAGCCGATGACTCTGTCAATGAAGAACAGCTAGAGACTGAACAAGTAATTTGCAAAGACCTCAGTTTAGATGGAGATGAGCTAGGTGAAGACATGAGTGAGCAGGAAATATGTACAGCAAATGAAATTAACTTACCAAATGATGCACAATCAAGTCCCACTCATTTTAGTGCTGTTCACTGTTCAGGTGCTGGTAATCAAATATTGGAACCAAACCAGCCTGCAATTCAAGAGAGAAGTAGTACAGCAAATGTTGACTGTGCAGTTGAGTATTTACAAACAAAACTCGCTCAGTCTGTTTCGAAAATATTAGGTTTGACTCCTGAAGTAAAGACCTTGGATAAGGCCAGAAAATTGCTCCACGAAAAGCAGAATAGCAGTTACCACCATGGAAAGTACAAAGATATTTTAGCCCTGGTCCAGACACAAGTGTTGGCAGCTCATCAGAATTCTTCAAAAGTATTAGAGAAATGGGAGAGTGAATTTGCAGTAAACAATGGATTTCCACCAATGTATGAAGACTATAAAACTGAAGCAGCCATACAATCTGCTTACAAGAAGAGAAAACTGAGCAGGCAACTATTGAAACACTGGAAAATAACTGTACACGTCAAGTGAGCTTGAACTTCAAGCATAATAATTTGACACTAAATGTATCAGAGCAGCTCCACAAATTTATAAATTTAATCATTTTAATTTTCTTCTTTGTTTGGCCAAGAATTAAATAATCACACTAAGTTAAATCTTCAAGTTCTTTTCATGCAAATACAAAAAAATAAATAAATAAATAAACGACGTGTAATATCAGTATTAGGCAGACACTTTTAATTTAATACGGGACTGATCAAGCTCATGTTCTCTAAGTACAGTTTCATTTTTGAAAAAAAAATGGCAAAAGAAACGTTTCATTGTACTCACTGATATTGTCTACCGGTATGCAGAGCATAACAAATCAGGTTTCACTGTAGTAATTTTAATTGAGAGAGTCTTGATAACTTCATTTTTACCGTCTTCAATATAGCTCCCTACTTCAAGCAAATTACATTATTATTATTCTCTTGCCAATTATAAATTTCAGAGATCTAACGATCAATATTATAGCCTGCGTAAAAACAATCAAATTTCGTAGTTAACATATAAAGAACCTTTCAGTGCATGCACAGCCACGTATTAAGTTAAATAATTACTCATTTTTAGGACTGCAGTTTATGTATCGAGGCAATAATAATACCAAGTCGGCCGCTCTCAATGAAGCGTTCAATGGACCGCTTAATTTTCTTAAGACATTATTTATACATGCAATAAAGCCGCATTCCAACTCTCAGTCTTGCAATGATATGTAGCAACCATGATTAAAGTTAGTAAAACTACGGATTCCCTCTTAAAAAAGAAGTACACTTTACTACACTTTCTTTGGCTTGGCTTTTAGTTTAACAGGTAAAAATTACGAATAATGCTTTATCGAAAATCGTAATTCGTTTCTACAATAATAATTATAAACGAAATCTCACTCACCTCGTGATTTATTCCGCGATATCCGCACTGACACATCGCAGTTTTCAATAGCCGAATAGATTCTCGGTAGAATTCACGCAAAAAAAGAGAGAATGGTAGGCTTTTCAAGCAAATTATTTCCCACGGCAGACGAAATTGAAGTATTGTGTTAAATACAAATTTAAAGAGGCCTGCGGACACGAACTTCGGTACGGATCGAGTTCACTGTTTACTGAAATGCGAGAACAAAACGTTAATAAAGTTTGGCATTACCTAATGGCTAACTTGAAACAATGCTGGGGGTCTCATACTCGCTCGAGAACCATTCCTTAAGTCACGCGAGATGATCCGTCCCCTGTTTCTTGAACCAGGCTTGTACCCCTCGATTGTAAAATTCTTTGCCTTGATCCGTCTGCACGCGGAGCGGTCGCCGCGGCGAGGCTTGCTGGTAAATGCGTGTCAACCCTCGGATCATCTCTTGCGTGCTTTTGGATTTGATGGGAACGGCCCAGGCATACTTGGACTGGACGTCGATCACGGTCAACAAATATTTGTTCCCCTGATTCCATCGACTGAGTTTTTGCATGTCCACTAAATCCATCTGCCATTGTTCGTCTCGGTCAAAGACCAACGTGGGCGTGGTGGGAAACCGCGTCCGTCGGGGTTTGTGGAGCGTATAACTCAACACGGATTGAAGAATCCGTTGCGCTTGCGAGGTTTTCAATTTATGGGCTTTGGCAAAGGGTTGGACCCCACCCAAAGCCCCAGGTTCCTGGGGATCTTCGTAAGCGCGTGGCAACGACATCAAGACACTGACACACTATCCTATTCCAATTCTTTCTTTAATAGTTTTTCACACACCTACATGAATTTTTTCAAAACAAACCCGTGCTACCAAAGTTCTTATGCAAATGGCGCCTTTTCTCATACTCTCTCTCCTGGGCTTTGGCGGATTCCCCAAACTGATTGAACCACGGTCTATTCCTCTCCACAAAGTTCATCTCCCAGGGTGGGGATCCCTCCATCTCTGGGCCTTTTCCTTTCAGAAGAGGAACAGGTAGAGACTCCTTGTACTGGGGCACATTCCCATGGTGTTTAAGCCATTGGGGTGTGTCATGGACCCATCGTCTCAGGGTGGGTTGCGCTTGCTCTCGGGGACACCACAGGGGGCCATGGAGCCATTGAAAGTAGCCACGGGGTTTGGCATGGATGAGAAAGCTCCCACAGCTAAAAAACACTTTGTTGTAATTCTTACAGGTACGACTCAATTTCATCTTGGGGACGAACCCACATCGGCACTTGAGGATGCGTGTCTTCTTTCAATTTCTCCATCATCACCTCCCGAGTGTACCTCAAACAAATAGACGGGACACCCTTCTTGGGGGCACTTGAACCTCAACTGGCCAAATTGGGTCTGGGGGTTGACACAATGGATGAATTGGTGAGGATGAAAGGGGCACGATTCATACAGGAGATGGTTGAACTGGGTTTCCATCTGGTCAAGGTCCTGGTCTTCCCCTACTTCCGTGGCCAGTGGGGAAGTTCCTTCCTCCATACATTCTTCCTCATAGTCTTTCAGGGTTCCCTCCATCAGCTCGTTGACGGAACAGACGGGGGATGGTGTGGGGGGTAGCGGTGGGTCATCAGCTCGGGGCAGGGCCTTCAGAGCCACCATGAGTTCACTGGTAGGGGGTTGAGTGGCTTTCATGTCTAGGGCTTCAGCTCGGGACAGACCGATCATGTCTGGGGCTGGCGCTTGGGCTTCCTCTTCCCCCTTTGGTTTCTTACTCAGTCGACGTCGTTTGCGTCCCGAGGGCACAGCAGCAGGTTGAGTGGCTTGACGCTCCATCCCTCGGCTGAAATGACTCTGGCTGAGCGTCTTGCCTGCCTTTTATAGCCCATCCTCCTGAGTCTCGTGATTCTCATAGGATCTTTTTCTCCACCAATCCTGACTCAACCCGTGCTCTCGTGAGGGTGGTGTGATCGGACGGTCCGCCAATCAGAGCACACGCCTTCCGCTATAAAACCAGAGGTGGTTCGAAGGCCGTCTCATTCGTCGCGGTCTTCTCTCATTTGCCGGTAAGCGATCATGGCGCTCCACGAAGTGGGTCTCTTGGTGTACAGTCAGGGGTTTGCCATGTCCCGAGACGAATATATTATTCGAGAACTGGCCTTTTGTGATTGGACGGGGCATCATCATGCCCTCTTCAAATACCTGTTACCGAAGGGCGTATCGTACAATCAATTATCCGAGGAGGCCAAGACTCGCGTCAATCGTCAGACCAAGACGGTACATGGTTTGCCGTTTGAACCGTACACGGCTTACAACCGCCACGAATTTCATCCCTACCATCAGATCAAAGACGATATCACCCGTTGGTGTCAACAGTATCTAACCCCCCAGAGGGGGCGGCTCGGGGTCTTCACGCTCAATGGTCTGTATCGACTGTTCCAAGAGCCCCGGTTTTCGTACCCCCTCGTGGTCTTGGAAGGGCAGGGCTGCCCGGACTTGGCCCCTCTTCCCGTCGCCACCGTCAATGTCCTGGCCACCAATGATCAGGGCCGCAATTGGTGCATGGATCATACCGACGGGGAACGTGGGAGTGGAGTCTGGCACGATCATTGCGCTCACGTACGGGCCTGTCAAATGAGTGGATGGTTACGTCGCCAGACCAATGTCCTGCCCACCCTCTTCCAAGTCAATACCCAACGCGTGCTGTGGCAACGACGGTGTGATCGATTGATGGATTATTTGTTATGTAACTATTGTAAAGAGGAAAAAGACGAAGCATTCGCTCGAGGTCAAGGACTGGATTGGATCCCGGACAATTGCAACGAATGCAGCACGGTCCGATGCATTTTCGAACAGACTGTCACCTGTCGGGAATGGCAAACACCAAGGCTGTATGCCGATGATGAACCGCATACCATGTGGGCTTGGACTCCTTTGTCTCACCATAAACACTGTTTTTAATTTTTTTTTTCACAGATCATGCCCTTGGCCATTTACACGGGAGGTGCCAAAGGCGTGGACACGCATGTCGAACGATTATGTCACCTGTATGGTCATTCGTGTGTGGTCCTCATCCCACCCTTTCTCCCTCGAGCCAGGTCCCTCGCGCCCTTGACCCAGTCCGATTTGGATGCCGCCACACCCACCGTCACCCAGGCGGCGTTTCGATTGGGTCGACAAATCCATCATCCCATCAGCCTCCAGTATATACAACGCAATTATTACGTGATCCAGCCTGCGTCCTTGGTGCTCGCCTTGGGCCATTTTGACGAGTGTCGCAAGCATCTGTTGG